TTTTTTTTTTTTTTTTTTTTTTTTTTTTTGGCTTCTCCTATACCATTTTAAGTTCTGACCTCAGGCCTCCATTCGGGCCCACGGCCTCTTGGAGGCTTCAAGTTTTCTGTACCTTGTGATGAATGTTAATAGGTGTTTTTATTATACGAAGCTGAATGTCATTTCTCGTTCGTAGTTTTCTGTCACTCATTCCATGTCCCTTCAGACATCACCACTGTTTTCTCGAAAGTCAGAAAACATTCCGTTTTGATCTTTTGCAAAAAGGTCCCAAATGCTGCACTCTACACGTGAAGGTCCTCTCACCCAGACGTGAAGTTCCTGCCAGAAAGAGAATGAATGACAGAAAAAAAAAAAAAGAAAAAATAGAGACACCCTAGGAACCACGCAGATTCATTCCATGAAGCAGTATTGGAAGGTGGGAAGGGGGTTGTTTCAGATTTTCCTCTTTTTCTTTTTTAATATTGCACCTACCATCATTCTTAATAAATGCCACAGCGCTTACCAGCACAAGGAGACATAGGCAGCAGCCCCCTTACCCCCAAAGCAAAACAAACAAAAAACAAACTCTCGCAGTAGTTCGACTGACAGTGGCTGTGGAAGCCCGTCCCTGGGATGACCTAGTTGAGATGGGCCTCAGGCTCTCGCAGTTATTGAAACCAGTGTGGGTTGCTTTGTTTGCAAAATGGCCCAAAAGCTGGCTTCCCTGAGCAACTGTGCTGAAAGTCGTGGTGGCCCCAAACCGAAACATCCATTCAGACCTGCTTGGTGGCATTCATCTGTCTGAATGCAAATTAGATTTCAGATTGAACTTGCTATGCGAGTTAATGAGAACTGGGTTCAGCAAATGCTAAAGTGTTCATTTCCAATGTGCAGGTTTGGTATAGCAGTTCAGCATGGGAGGCAGTATCATCCCACCAACCCAGTCCCAAAAACCAACAGGAGAAGACATCAGGCAGATGGGGGCACAGCTCAGCCCTGGGCTTTTGGGGAAACACACGTGGCGCACAGAACATGACAGTCATGGGTCAGTACAGCCTCAGTCCTTGGAACCCCTGAACGCTTCCACGCTGCACCGCTTTCCTGTCACTCATTTATTTACCTAGGAGTGTAGCTTTTGTTTTAGTTTAAGAGCCTTTTGGAGCTTAATTTATATGCTTTGTACCTCTTTTTTTTTTTTCCCCTAAAATTACCAAAGATATTCCACAAAGGTAAATTATGTTCTCTGTTTTTATGCTTTATCTGATGAAGCCAAATATCCTCTTCTTGTTGATCAAAGGAGGCAAAATAATTTAGAGGCAATTGATGAGATATAGGCTATTGCTAACTTAAGAGAACTGCTTCTTCATCATAGAGGACATTTAGAAGACCAAGTAGGTAATGGAACCAAAGTTGTTACTTTTTTTTTTTTTTTTCCAGTCCTCGGTTTTTGTTTTTGTTTTTGTTTTTGTTTTTTCCTTCTGTACCTCTACAGAGACCAAAACGCATTCTTGTAAAGAGAACTTATGGGGCTACTGAAGAGAGAAATAGGACACAGTATTAAGGGAGCAATAGAAGGAAGGGATTACCATCTCCAAGAAGAAAAACCAGTGTACAGCACATGAAACTTAGGGGGTGTCCAGTCGAGGAGACAGTTAAGATACAATGAAGGTAAAATTCAGAGAGAACAGAACAGCTTCCACAATTGAACTAGACCACGTAATGTAGTATTTCTAGAAGACATTTCTTTTTCAAAGAAAGATTGTATGCCACTTTTGTTTAAGGACTGTGCTATGATCACTGCATTCATTTGGGTTTATCTTGGCATATATATCCTCCGGGTTTTTGTTTTTGTTTTTGTTTTAAAAGGTTTCCTTTTTTTCCTTCCTTTTTTCCGGATTAGGCTTGCGTCAGCATTTTTCATTTAAAAAAAAAAAAAGTAACATTCCCGTCCACTCACCAGCTTGGTACAAAAACTTCTCTGGCAGTTCCTTTTGAAGCTTCACACTGCTTTCTCTATAAAGAGCAGTCTGTGGTCACTCGAGACTTACTTTTTTTTTTTTTTTTTTCCAACTTTTCCAGGCAGCGTCATGATGTGCAGGCAGTAGCCAGACAGGGTCATGGGAAGGGGGCCCTGTGCTTCTAAACTGAGTGGTTGCTGGTTAGTTTGGTATTCAAAAGAGGATAAAAATCTGGTAGATTAGTTCATTCTCAGCATGTGTAGCTAGACATGAGTAAAGTTAACAGCATGAGAAACTGTTAGTACGCATACCTCAGTTCAAACCTTTAGGGAATGATTAAAATTTAAAAAAAAAAAAACATTTCACTCAGTTGCACTTAGTCGTATGTCTTGCATGCTTAGTCTAAAGACTGTAGCAAAAAGAAAAAAAAAAGAAAAATTAGCTTTTACATATCTTTGCAGGTATCACAGCCTTGCAGAAGAACCAACTGAAAAAAAAAATTTCTCAGGCTTTACAGCAAGCAAACTTCACTCTGATTTTTCCAATTCTGATTCTGTATCCCTTGGGGGTATCCCAGTTGCTTCTTTAGGATGGGGTTTATTATGTTGTACATATATCCCGATGTGTCTGTGTGACTCTTTGTCTTTTTTGGGGGAGGGCGGAGGGTGGTTCTTTTTTTAGATATTGTTCCTAAAAAGGAATAAATGCATATACACCTGTTTGTCAAAACACCTTTGCTTTTTGTGCAACTGCTTTATATTAACGATACTTTAAAAAAAAAAAAAAAAAAAACCTTTGGAAAAAAAAACTACTGTATGTAATGGAATTGCAGAATATGCTGCACATGTATTTTATTTAGTTATTCTTGCTTTCAGAATATCGGATGACATTTCCTGACATGTGGGAGGGAGAAACTCCCAAATTTCTTTTTTTTTTTTTTGGCTTTTAGAATTGTAACATAGTTGACAGATTTTTTCTTTTTTTTTTTCTTTTTTCCTGTTCTCATTGATCGGAGCATCTTGTACAGGTTTTTTTGGTGTTTGTGCCTGCCGGTGTGAGTTCCTCTGTTTTTTGATACATTCCTATCCCTTGTGTTTATCCTACCATTGCCTTCCTGGCTATCTTAAACAAGTTCATGCGTTTGAAAAGAGAAAAAAAAAAATGTTGTTTTAAACAATGTTTTCTCCTGCTGCAGTAAATATTTTGCATGATGAAATTCCAGGGTCACACTTTCAAAGTTTATCAGTGAAGTAGTGATTAATCATGGGGAGTGTCAAAGCTATTGAACTTTTTGTATAAAAACAAGAAAAAAAGAAAGAAAACTTTACAAGGTGCCAAGATGTACAGACAATTTGTTGCTTTTTTTTTTTTTTTCCCCAAAGAAAAGCGTACCTTAGGGAGAACGGTCCCTTGTACCGGGCAAATGCACTGTCAGGAATGAGGATCCATCCTACTTGTTGTCCCTAGAGTCTGTCCTTGTAAGACAAGTTAACGCTGCCTGCATTGAACCAGCAGTGAAAGGAAACATCAAGGCTTATGAACGGGAAGAGTGACCGCCAGCCCTGCCACCTTCGGACGGCTCTGACCTGATTCCCCGCGTTCCGTCAGACCTAGTAAAGACACCTCGGATTCTTCACCCAAAATATGATGTCCATCACTAGCTATTTTATCCCGGAAAAAAAAAAAAAAAAGTTAAAGATTTCCTCTCCTTTCCGCATTCCAGCTTGAGCTCCGTTTCCAAGGGTACCAAGAAGAACATGCTTGTCGGGATTTTGAATCTTTGGGGGACCTTTTGGTTCATGGTAGACCCTCTGGATATTTTGGATGTTTCTGAGAGTCGATTTTGGCTTTTCTCTCCTGAGAAATGAGACTTATAATTCCAAAGGCATTTTGTGGGCCCGGTGTAGTTCTCATGATCTCTGCTACCCAGAAGCCTGCATGGAGATGGTACAGCCCGGACTGTCAGCGTGGTGCTCCGTGGAGATGTGCTGCCAGTAACAAGAATTTTTTTTTTTTTAATTTCGTTTTGTTTTGATAAGGCATAAAAGGAACTCATTCCGTGACATCAACTGTAATTCCATCATTCCGTGTCTGTGGATACAGACAATAAAAAAAAAAAAAAAAAAAATGTTGTGTAGTCAGTACTAATGACTGACATGATCGCATTCTCAAATGCAATAAAAATGCTGGTTGTTCACACTGGTAGTAAAAGTCGCCACAGCCTAAGTTTCTTTCCCCTTCCGACCTGCTCAGAGTGTGTGTTCAGCATATGCCTTAGGTTTAGCACCAGCTGCTTCCCTCCCAGAATTAAAATCAATCTTAACTAAAAGCTTTCATCATCACGGAGAACTGAAGCTCTCGTCCCTCAGGATTTCAAAGTGAAAGTCTCCACTTAGAGAATTGGGGAAAAAAACAGAAAAAGAGAGGCTACCTTTTCTCTCCAGGAAGCACACTGTGATTTTTTTTTTTTTCCTTCATCACATTTTATAGAGAAAAAACAAAATATTGAATAACTAGCATTAAGAGCTAACTAAAATTTCAGAGGAAGGCAATTTCATGAATAATTCATTCAAATTTCACATCTGCAAGATTAGTCATCCAAATAAAATGCTAATGTCAAAAACATGCACCATCTATAATATTCTCATCAAGAAATCTTTTTGCATATAATGATAAATGCCGAGATTAGGACAAATGGTTTTATAAAAATACTCTATCAGAAAGTATGTTCGATAGCTGCCTTTACTGATGGAAAGAGTAAAGCTCCCATAACTAAATATTTCCAGAAAAATCATCTTGATTTCTGAGGTCTTTAAAAATCGCAGACCTCTAGAAAAATGTGCTATTTCTCTTTAATATTATTCTGTCATACACATTCTAAGGATTAATGAATTTGGGCATCCTCTTTGAGTAAAAAATTGGTATATCGAA